TGGCGTCCCAGTGTTCCATAAAGAACTTCAAATCGTGACTCATCTGATCACAGAACAGTCTTCCTTTTTGCCACACTCCATTTTAAATGACCCCTGGCCCAGTGCAAACATCTGAGCTTGTGGAGCTTGCTTAGAAATGGCTTCCTCTTTGCACTGTAGAGTTTCAGCTGGCAACGGCGGATGGCACGGTGGATTGTGTTCACTGACAATGCTTTCTGGAAGTATTCCTGAGCCCATTCTGTTATTTCCTTGACAGTAGTGTTCCTGTTTGAGGTGCAGTGACGTTTAAGGGCCCGAAGATCACGAGCATCCAGTAGAGTTTTACGGCCTTGACCCTTACGCACAGCGATTGTTCCAGATTCTCTGACTCTTTTGATTATGTTATGCACGGTTGATGATGATAACTTAAAAGTCTTTGCTCTTTTACGCTGGGTAACACCATTCTGGTATTGCTGCACTATCTTTCTGCGCAACAATGGTGGAATTAGTGATCCTCTTACCATCTTGGCTTCTGAGAGACACTGACACTCTGAGAAGCTCTTTTTATACCCAATCATGTTGTCAATTGATCTAATTAGTGTTAACTGGTCTTCCAGCTGTTCGTTATATGCTCAGTTTCCTTTTTCCAGACACTTATTGCTACTTGTCCCAACTTTTTTGGGATTTGTTGACACTGTGAAATTTTGAATCAACATATTTTTCCTTTAAAATGTTACATTGCTTTACATTGCTTGTTTTCAATGCTACTAAATCTATTAGATCTGAAGCATTTGTTATTTCTCATTGTTTTCAGGACTTAAAGAAGCACATTAATGGGCAGTGACAAAGAGCTGAACACTCACTTTAATAGCTCCAGCGTCATGGTCCCTTTAGGCTCAGCTTCCACACTTTTGCCCCAGAACTTGAGTTTTGGGTAGATTGAGCCGTGAAACTCAAACTCCTGCTGGAGAGACTGAACGTGGAAGGCACTGACAGGGGGGTGATGGCTCACCTGCTCTGAGATCAACCTGTATCCCTCCTCCTCTCTTTAAGGCAAACACACCACATTTATTAATCAAATCTAAGGAGAAGAACGTCATCATTAGGAAACAGTTCAACATGTGTGTCCTGTCAGTACCTGGTGAGTTCAAACGTCTCACCCAGTAAAGGGTTAAATGGCTTTCCAGTCCTTTCCCACTGAGATGCAACAGCCGAAACAGCAAACGCTGCAACAACCTGCCACCAGGAGCACAAGTCAGTGTTCTCTGAGGAAGAACATTTCTGAAGGTCTTTCTTTGTCTTAGGCATCATCAGATAATAGGAACTCTGAGTCCTGGAGATTCATGTCAGAATGAGTCATCTCTTTGTAAATAGGAATTCTGAGTCCTGGAGATTCATGTCAGAATAAACCATCTCTATGTAAATAGGAATTCTGAGTCCTGGAGATTCATGTCAGAATGAGTCATCTCTATGTAAATAGGAATTCTGAGTCCTGGAGATTCATGTCAGAATGAGTCATCTCTATGTAAATAGGAATTCTGAGTCCTGGAGATTCGTGTCAGAAAGAGTCATCTCTATGTAAATAGTAATTATGAGTCCTGGAGATTCATGTCAGAAAGAGTCATCTCTATGTAAATAGGAATTCTGAGTCCTGGAGATTCATGTCAGAATGAGTCGTCTCTATGTAAATAGGAATTCTGAGTCCTGGAGATGTCAGAATGAGTCATCTCTATGTTAATAAGAACTCTGAGTCCTGAAGTTTCATGTCAGAATGAGTCATCTCTACCTGCATACGTTCCATGGAGTCAGGTAAGCTGCAGGCCTTGTGGATGAGGTGAGTGTGTTCCATATACTCCGAGATTCTCTGGAGGAAGCTGAGCGGCTCATTGAACACGACGGGCATGGCTATTTTAGACAGCTCCTGTAACAACATTATGGCAAAAACATAAGGAATAATCAGAGCCAGAACCAGCTGTGCTTTGTTAGGCTCCACAGGGTTACAGCTTATTCCGAAGTCAGGTCACGGGGGCAGCACCTTGAGCAGGGAAGCCCAGACATCTCTTTCCACAGACACCTCTTCCAGCTCTTCTGGGACATTTCCAAGTTGTTCCCAGGCAAACCGAGAGACATAGTCTCTCCAGCGTGTCCTGGGTCTTCCCTGGGGTCTCCTCCCAGTCGGACATGCCCGAAGCACCTCCCTAGGGAGGTGTCCAGGGAGCATCCTTACCAGATGCCTGAACCACCTCAACTGGCTCCTCTCGATGTGGAGGAGCAGCGATTCTACTCATAGTCTCTCCCGGATGACTGAACTTCTCACCCTATCTCTAAGGGAGAGTCTAGCTACCCTGCGGAGGAAACTCATTTCAACTGCCTGTATCCAAGATCTCATTCTTTCAGTCAGTACCCAGAGCTAGTCACCATAGATGAGTGTAGAAACGTAGACTGACTGTAAACAGAGAGCTTTGCCTTACAGCTCAGCTCCCTCTTCACCACAAAGGACAAGCACAGTGTCCTCAATACTGCAGACGCTGCACCAATCCATCTATCAATCTCATGCTCCATTCTTCTCTCACTTGTGAACAAACCCCTGAGATATTTGAACTCCTCCACTTGAGGCAGAACCTCACCCTCAACCTGAAGAGAGCAATCCACCCTTTTCCGACTGAGGACCATGACCTCAGATTTGGAGGAGCCGATTCTCATCCCAGCCGTTTCACACTCTGTTGCGAACCGCTCCAGTGAAAGCTGGAGATCATGGCACAATGAAGCAAACGGGCATGGATGATGATGATGATCATCCATTGTGTTTATTAGTAACTTAAAATACCTAATTAAAACTCCAGTAGTAGGCTAGGTCTACTGTAAAGCAACATATAAACCTGATTTATCATACATCGTTTTTTACTTTATCTTTATGAATTCATCCTGATGCTGCAGGCTGAGAAAAAGTTAGATCAACTTGTAGCAACAAAGTTTTTGGTAAACAGTTTTAAGAAGTGTTCATGTAGTGATTTAGTTTTATTCTGCAGTAGAAACATACCAACCCAATAATTGCTTTCAGCTTTGTTCTCTGTTCACGTTTCAGATGATCAGAAATTCTGAATTATTTTAAGAAGCATAAAACATTATTCCCAACTTAGAAAACCCTGGATAGCACTTTTTACATATTCTATGAATTCATTCAGTCAATAAATGATTAAACAACTTTTACGTGTTTGTTTTATAAACAATCCACGTTTTTTCCTTCTTTTGTTGCCATTTTTTACATTTTGTAGCTAATGTTTGTTGATGTATCTTCAGACTTGTCAGGTCTGATTATATTCATGATATGCTGCTGGAAAAATGAGACACAATAATAATAATAACAATAAACATGGTGACGGTATTAACACTTCAACTATCTGAGGGCAGAATGTTGGTTTATTTACTAAAACAAAAGCTTAATGTCTCAATTGTAACTTCCTGTTTGACATTTTGATATGTAATAAAAAAAATCTAAACAAATCAAATGTAAATGTTGATACAAATATAGAATTTAGTCTTTTCCATATTATCAGAACATTCCTTGTATAGTAGCTAAACGTAATTAATGTTTAAGGCTGCTTCCCTCCTGTCAGTGTCAGGTTTGTTAGAAGGTCAGCAGGACTCACCATGCCGATGCATTTCTTCAGGATGCTCCAAATACTGAAATTGTTCCTGGAGATCATTTCAGCAGGAAGACTTTTCCTGAGACACAAAGACATCAAATAAAAAATAAAATAAAATAATTAGTCATTTGTTAGAAAAGCAGTTCCTCCAAGTGCTTTGCAAAGGACAACACTGAAAATATTCAAAGATAAAACGCTCAAATGCTGCTGAACCAATAATTCAAACTTTAAATCAAAACACAGACTTGTACACACAAAACAAACAGCTCATAATTCTAATATATAAGATGTAACATGTACTACAATATATAAAATGTAACATTATGTAAGCTGTAACATGCATTACATGTATGTAAGATGTAATATGTAACATGTACTGCATGTATGGAAAATGTACTATGTATGTACAAACCGGATTCCAAAAAAGTTGGGACACATAACAAATTGTGAAAAAAAACTGAATGCAATGATATTGAGATGGCAAATGTCAATATTTTATTTGTAATATAACATAGATGATAGATCAAAAGTTTAATCTGAGTAAATGTAACATTTTAAAGGAAAAATATGTTGATTCAAAATTTCACAGTGTCAACAAATCCCCAAAAAGTTGGGACAAGTAGCAATAAGTGGCTGGAAAAAGGAAACTGAGCATATAACGAACAGCTGGAAGACCAATTAACACTAATTAGGTCAATTGACAACATGATTGGGTATAAAAAGAGCTTCTCAGAGTGTCAGTGTCTCTCAGAAGCCAAGATGGTAAGAGGATCACCAATTCCACCATTGTTGCACAGAAAGATAGTGCAGCAGTACCAGAATGGTGTTACCCAGCGTAAAATAGCAAAGACTTTTAAGTTATCATCATCAACCGTGCATAACATCATGAAAAGATTCAGAGAATCTGGAACAATCACTGTGCGTAAGGGTCAAGGCTGTAAAACTCTACTGGATGCTCGTGATCTCCGGGCCCTTAAACGTCACTGCACCTCAACCAGGAATGCCACTGTCAAGGAAATAACAGAATGGGCTCAGGAATACTTCCAGAAAGCATTGTCAGTGAACACAATCCACCGTGCCATCCGCTGTTGCCAGCTGAAACTCTACAGTGCAAAGAGGAAGCCATTTCTAAGCAAGCTCCACAAGCTCAGATGTTTGCACTGGGCCAGGGGTCATTTAAAATGGAGTGTGGCAAAAAGGAAGACTGTTCTGTGGTCAGATGAGTCACGATTTGAAGTTCTTTATGGAACACTGGGACGCCA